AAAAAAAAAAAAAATCAAACCTCATGCCACTCCACTATTTTCAAATCCTTTAACTGTACTTATAATACAGATTAAGGTTAAAGGTTTCACCTAATCTGGCCTCCCTCTACATCTGTAGCATCATCTTAAGCCTCCCTTTCCCAGTGCAGTTTCTCTCAACCTTGGTGGTCTTCATTCATTTCTTTTCATACACTTCTTTGGGGTATTTACATTGGCCATTTCCTCTGCCCTAAATGCTCCTCTCTCCCCTCCCCTTTGCTTAACTCTTGCACTATGCCTCATACCTCCCAATATCCCTCTCCCTTGTTCCCACTAGGTTAGTATCTCTGTTGTCTGTTCCTGTGGCCCTCTGTGCTTCTCTTTCACAGCAGCTGTAACAGTTGATAAATGTGTTATTTGTGGAATTCTTCATTGACAGTTGACACTCCCATATATTATAAGCTCCAGGCAGAAACCGTGTTTATATTCTTACCCTTGCATCCACAACATCTAGCTCAGAGCCACAAAAAGTAGGCACTCATTAGCTACTTCTTCAATGAATAATGGATATTAGAGATCAATCATCAGCTCTTTTTCAAAAGAGGGAACTGAGGCTCAGAAAGGCAAACAGACTTACTCAAAACCCCAGCTTGCGGAACCTGAAAATATATTCTTGTCTCCAGACTTTGAATCCCATAGTTCTTATCCAGTTATACCACGTGGCCTGAAAGCTTGTTCATGGGCCAAGTCACAGGTTCTAACTCTATTGCTGGGACAAAAGGTGATTGAGAGGAGAGACAAAAGGAATTATTCACTGGGTCATATGAGCAGTTGAACATAAGCGAGAAACTGAGAAATGAAAGACTGAAACTCAAACGAAAATTTGATGAGTGGGTGGCGTGGTTAAGGTATTGACACACAGATGAGAGATTGATCTGGTTGACTGATCTGAGACGTACACACATACAGCACAGGCGACCAGACTCCACAAAGACAGCACATATACCTAGCCAGCACCTAATTAAGAGAAAAAAGTTCAGTGGAACATGTGAGTGTTCTGGAAAATACAACAGGATCAGTTGTGTTCAATTGATTCTGGTTCATAAATTCCTCCTGGGGGATGGAGAGGTGGGGGTGGTATAGGAGTGGAGGTGGGGTGGTAAGGGGGTGGGGGTGTGATGGGGGTGGGGGGTGGAGGTGGGGGGGGTCTCAGGAGGCCTGGCTGAGAGAGGAGGCATCTCCCTGTAGGAGAAGTTAGCAGGGGTCATGGTGAGGGGTTCGGGCCGGGCAGCGTCCCTGGGCTGGCGTGGGCGCTTCAGGGAGGAGGCTGGAGAAGGGTGGAGCCGGTGAGGGGCGGTGGCTGAGGGCCGTCTCGGTGCAGTTTCATTTCTGCTCCCGCGCTGTGGGCATAGACCCCGACCACCACGCAGACAGGACACCGGGGCTCCCAGACCCTCCTGGCTGGGCCGGGGTTGGCGAGGGGAGCGCCTGGAGGGTCCCCATGGGGGCTGAGGAGGGGCTGTTCCGTAGCGGGGCTCAGTGGGGCCCAGAGGGGCTTGAGTGACGGGATGCAAATGAAGAGGGACCATGCCAATGAGCGCGAAACAGGCACGCAAAGGAACACGTAGATGAGCTCACAGGTACCCTTGCACATGGACGAGGGTGTCAGGCGTGTGGGGCCGGCCCTCCCGTGGCTGCTTGGGTCGTGTGCGTGAGTGTACTTGTGTGTCAGGGCTTGTGGCGTGTGTGTGTGAGCTTCTGGGCAGGTGCGTGTGTGAAGTGTGGGTTCTCGGGGTGTGTGAGTGTGCACACGTGTGTCAGGGTGTGTGTGTGAGCATCTGGGCAGTGCACGTGTGAAGTGTAGGTGCTCAGGGTGTGTGAATGTGAGCGTGCACACGTGTGTCGGCGTGGGGCGTGTGTGTCTGGGCAGGTGCGTGTGTCGTGTGGCTGCTCGTGGTGTCTGAGTGTGCGTACGTGTGCCCCTGCTCTGGAGGCGGGACCCCCGTGACCGCGCCCTTCCTGCCACCGCAGGTCATCGCCACCCACCACATGCCATCCATCTCCTTCGCATCCGGCGGAGACACGGTGAGGCTGGGGATGGGGGTGGACCTGCAGCCCGCTGCCCCCTCTGGCCCTTTCCCAGACCCCGCCTCCAGTACCCTCTGCCCACACCCCCGCGCCTCTCTGTTCATCGCTGGGGTGGGCGGCTGGGAGTCCTGGTGGGGGGCCCAGGCAGGTCCAGCTGGCCCCTCCCTACCCCCAGGACATGACGGATTACGTGGCCTACGTCGCCAAGGACCCCATCAACCAGAGAGGTGAGGCCCCGGAGTGGGTCGGCCGGTGGGGGCCCGTGGCCGTGTGGCTGGGGGCGTGGCCGCGTGGCCGCCTGACCCACGTGACCCCGCAGCCTGCCACATCCTGGAGTGCTGTGAGGGCCTGGCGCAGAGCGTCATCAGTACCGTGGGCCAAGCCTTTGAGCTGCGCTTCAAGCAATACCTGCACAGCCCACCCAAGGTGGCCCTGCCCCCGGAAAGGTAACTGACCCACCCTCCACCCCGCCCCGGGGACCCCCAGGGACCTGCCCAGGTGCAGAGCCCGCCCCACCCCCTGCGGGCCTGAGCCCCTGCCTGCCCTGGTCCCTCCCTGCCTGTCCTTCCTCTGCTGTAAAACCGGAGTCGAAGCATCCTGGCCCCCCGGGGTTCAGGGAGACCCCCGGGGTTCAGGGAGACGTGAGCAGCTGACCCCTGAGTGTGCCCGAGGCTGTGGGCCCGGCTGCTGTTACTGATACCCCTCCTCCAGACGGCCGCTGGCTCCTGCGAAGGGCAGCAAACGGCCTCTGTTTCCCACAAGATGCACAAGGAGGGACGCGGCTGTGAGGGGGCTGCCTGCTATTCATAGACGCTGCAATGTGGATGCCACGTAACTGTCTCATGTTGCCAAATGTTATTCTCTGGGTGTTTTCTCAGACACGAAACTTTTATGATTTAAAGGTTTAAAACCCATTCTTAGCTCGTGGCCAAACAGAGCCAGGCAGTGAGCTGGATTTGGCCCTGGGCTGGGGTTTGCCAGCCGGGCCCGGAGAAGGAGCTATTTAAGTGTCTGTTCATCATTAGAAAGTCAGGTCCCTCCAACGGTGGGGGGGCAGGTGCAGGCGCATGAGCTCCCGGCCCCTCTGGTCACGAGGGAGGCGGCGTCACACGCGTGCCCGGTCTCGCCCCTTCGTGCACGGGGACGGCGCGCTCCAGAGCTGGGACGGACCCTCGCCTGCCTCTGGGGCGGCCTCCGCCTTCCGTAGGCTGCCCTGTGAGTTACCCGTCAGCGACTGCGGGCCAGGCAGGGGGCACCCTCTTTGGCTTCCTGAGGGGCGCCTGCAGGATACATTTCTGCCAGCGCCGTCGGGCCGGAGGGCAGGGGCGCTCTGATCCCAGAGACGTGCCGCCCTGGCCTGTGGTGTCCTGTTTCTGGGTATCAGCTTGGCTCATGCCCTCTGCCGCCGGGCGGGGCCGAAGGTGGGCAGCACTGGAGACCAGGTTTGCCAGTGACCTGCCCTCTGTGCTGCGGCTCAGAAATGTGTGCAAGATTCCAGTTCACAGATGAGGAAGTCGTGGGTACCGTCACGCGCTCCAGAAGCGTTTCCTGGCGGGAACCCACAGCCGACAGTGGGGACTGGGATTTGAACTCAGGTCTCCTCGGCCCCCCAAAAGCTCAAGCTGCAAGGGTGACCCCCGCAGCACCTGCCTGTCCCCCCACGGCCTTTGCTGTCGGTCCCCCAGGCTGGCGGGGCTGGAGGAGTCGGCTTGGGGGGACGAGGAGGAGGCCGCGGAGCACAGTTACTACAACAGCATCCCCGGGAAGGAGCCGCCGCCGGGTGGCCTGGTGGACTCCAGGCTGGCGCCGACACAGCCCTGTGCCCTCGCCGCCCTCGGGCAGGTCAGCCTCTGCCCTCGGGGGACGCGGGACGCGGGGGGCGGGGGGGGGGTGCCCCAGCGGCTGAGACACAGTCCTGTGCCCTCACCGCCCTCGGCCAGGTCAGCCTCTGCCCTCGGGGGACGCGGGACGCGGGGGGCGGGGGGGATGCCCCAGCGGCTGAGACACAGTCCTGCGCCCTCGCCGCCCTCGGGCAGGTCAGCCTCTGCCCTTGGGGGACGCGGGACGCGGTGGGCGGCGGGGGGGGGGGTGCCCCAGCGGCTGAGTCCTTGGACCTGCCTCTGGCTGGTTTTTGCTTCTTTCTCCTCAATCCTAGAGGAGCGTCTCTCAGGATTCACTCACTCGCTGGCTCCATGACTCCTTCATTTATTCACTCATTCACTCATTCACTCACTCATTTACCCACTCAGTAACTCACTCATTCACTCACTCATTCATTCACTCACTCACTCATTCACTCACTCATTCACTCATTCACTCACTCATTCATTCACTCATTCACTCACTCATTCATTCACTCATTCATTCACTCACTCATTCACTCATTCATTCACTCACTCATTCACTCACTCATTCACTCACTCACTCATTTACCCACTCAGTAACTCACTCATTCACTCATTCATTCACTCACTCACTCATTCACTCACTCATGTATTCACTAATTCACTCATTCACTCACTCATGTATTCACCCCTTCACTCATTCACTCACTCACTCCTTCACTCATTCACTCACTCACTCATTCACTCACTAACTCTCTCACTCACTTATTCACTCATTTATTCACTCATTCACTCACCCATTCAGTAACTCTCTCATTCACTCATTCACTCACTCACTGGTGGCCTCACGATGGGGTGCTGTGTGTCTGCCGGGCCTGTTCTGGACACGTCAGATGAGGTGGCATTTCACACATGATTTCTACCCTGACACAGAATCAACAGAGTAATGATGTTAGCACAGCCTTGATGAGGCCACCAGGGAGGCGGTGATGTCCACTGGGACACGGACTCTGGGGGGGGTCAGGAGGGCTTCCCTGAGGAAGCTGCGTTCTCACTGGTGGACAGCAGTGCAGGGAAGGGCAAGCAGGCAGAGGGAATGGCCATCGCAAAGTGGCAGGATGTGCAGACCACCTTCTGAGGCTGAAAGAAGGCGGGAAGGCCACGGCAGAGCAGCGTGGCGGACCCTGGGGTTAGTGAGCCCTGCAGGCAGCTCGAGAGCTGGGGAGCCAGGGGAGGGCTGGGGCTGAGCTCCCCACCCTGAGTCTCCAGCCACCTAGGAGGCCAGGCGAGGAGACTGGGGGTGCTGGGCTGGCAAGAGGGGCTTGTGCATACCGGGGAACCTCTCGCTGCCGTTTCCAGGGCCCATCTCATGCTCGAAGAGACGCCCGCAGCTTGCCATGGGACGTGGGGCACACGGGTACAGGTAGGATGGACTTGGGCAGCACGGGGTGCCCGCAAGGGTTCTGGGGTGCCTCAGCCCCGTCCCGTGCTGCCTCCCCTCAGTCTTCCCCTCTCTGCTTCAATCACCTTCCTTCACCCACGAGATCATCTGCACCTCACACTGCTGAGATTTCCATCATCTCAGTGTCTGTCCTATAGAGTGGTTTCCTGGCATATGGGGTACAGGTACTGAGTTCGTCCACACAGGACTTGGTTTCTGTGCATGTTGGGTGTAGGTACTTGGTTCATCCACATGGTACTAGGTTTCTGTGTGTGTTGGGTGTAGGTACTGAGTTCGTCCACACGGTGCTGGGTGTCTGTGCGTGTTGGGTGTAGGTACTGTGTTCGGTGCTAGGTGTCTGTGTGTGTTGGGTGTAGGTACTGGGTCCGTCCGCACGGTGCCGGGTGTCTGTGCGTGTTGGGTGTGGGTACTGGGTCCGTCCGCGCGGTGCTGGGTGTCTGTGCGTGTTGGGTGTAGGTACTGGGTCGGTCCGCACGGTGCCGGGTGTCTGTGCGTGTTGGGTGTAGGTACTGCGTTCGTCCACATGGTGCTGTCTGTGCGTGTTGGCTGTAGATACTGAGTCCGTCCACACGGTACCAGGTGTCTGTGCGTGTTGGGTGTAGGTACTGCGTTCGTCCGCACGGTGCTGGGTGTCTGTGCATGTTGGGTGTGAGTGCTGGGTGTCTGTGCATGTTGGGTGTAGGTACTGGGTCAGTCCACACGGTACCAGGTGTCTGTGCGTGTTGGGTGTAGGTACTGGGTCTGTCCACGCGGTGCCAGGTGTCTGTGCGTGTTGGGTGTAGGTACTGCGTTCGTCCACGCGGTGCTGGGTGTCTGTGCGTGTTGGGTGTGGGTACTGGGTCTGTCCACACGGTGCTGGGTGTCTGTGCGTGTTGGGTGTAGGTACTGCGTTCATCCACGTGGTGCTGGGTGTCTGTGCGTGTTGGGTGTAGGTACTGGGTCAGTCCACACGGTACCAGGTGTCTGTGCGTGTTGGGTGTGGGTACTGGGTCTGTCCACACGGTGCTGGGTGTCTGTGCGTGTTGGGTGTAGGTACTGAGTCCGTCCACACGGTACTAGGTGTCTGTGCGTGTTGCGTGTAGGTACTGCGTTTGTCCACGCGGTGCTAGGTGTCTGTGCATGTTGGGTGTAGGTACTGAGTTCATCCACACGATACTAGGTGTCTGTGTGTGTTGGGTGTAGGTACTGAGTTCGTCCACACGGTACTAGGTGTCTGCGTTTTTGCTGTAGATACTGGGTCTGTCCACACGGTACTCAGTTTCTGTATGTGTTGGGTGTAGGTACTTGGTTCATCCACACGGTACTAGATGTCTGTGCGTGTTGGGTGTAGGTACTGGGTCTGTCCACACGGTGCTGGGTGTCTGTGCGTGTTGGGTGTGGGTACTGGGTCCGTCCGCGCGGTGCTGGGTGTCTGTGCGTGTTGG